TATGAATCAGAAACATGTGAAATGTGAAACTCCTCATAAATCATTTGATCTATGAATGAAGGTAATTTTGTTGAATCTCCTCCTCCTTTGGTTTTCTCTGTGTCTTTATAAGCTCCAGTATCTCTTCTCACAATCTTACTCACATCTCAGCTGAACAGTAAAGATCATTTACACCTCACACTGACAACATGCTGTGGACCCTCTGCACTCTCATCACTGCTCTAACATGTGAGATCTTCTTCTCATTTCTGTTTTTTATTCCATATTTAGAGCTAAACTTTTACCTTCACTTTTTCTGTGTTTCCTGGCAGATGTTGATGCAGTGATCGTGTTGACCCAAACACCTGCTGTCCACACAGTTTCTCAAGGTCAACAAGCTGTTCTCAACTGCAACATAGAGAGATATGATGCGAATTATGTTAGATGGTATAAACAAGTTCCTGGAGAGGCTCATCAATATGTTCTAAGATTTCTTCATTCTGACAGCTCACCCAGCTTTGGAACAGGATTCTCCTCAGACAGATTTAACTCTAAATCCTCATCAAACATTGATTACCAGTTCATTATCAAGCGAGCAGAGACAGGAGACTCTGCAGTGTATTACTGTCAGACATATGATGACTCTGCTTCTGCACCCGTATCACAGTGATTCAGGCTGTGACAAAAACCTTCTCATTAGTACTTCTGCTTTTTGAGAAACTTTCTCTTACAGAATATAGATCCATCAAGAAAATTCTAAAGAAAACGCACCACCTTCAGATAATGTGTTTTTAAATACTGGATTTCAATTTTTTTGTTCTTTAATTAAAAGAAATGTGGACCTTAAAACAATCTGCAAAGCTCTCCCAAAGACATTAGAGAAAATAACCCCCCTTTTAATTCATCCTGACCAAACTGGTTTCATAAAAGGTAGGCACTCATCAACAAATACACGTAGATTACTTAATTTGATAGACTACTCATGGAGTAAAAACATCGAAACTACAATATTATCTCTAGATGCAGAACAAGCGTTTCACAGAGTTAACTGGAAATGTTTATTTGCAACTTTACACAAATTTGGTTTTGGAACCTCTTTCATTAACTGGTTAAAAATATTATACAACTCCCCAACAGCTTGTGTGAAAACAAACGATCAAATATCCTCCTGCTTCTGTCTCTTGAGGGGCACCAGGCAGGAATACCCACTCTCTCCTTCACTGTTTGCAATTTTTAGTGAACCACTAGCAGCGATTAGACAGAATACAGTACTTAAGGGCATAAAATGCAAGAACGTGCAACATAAAATCAGTCTTTATGCGGATGATGTGTTACTTTTTCTCCAAAACTCACAAACCAATCTCTCTGGGGTAATTGCATTGATAAACTCTTTTGCAAGAGTTAAGATTATTCAATTAACTGGTCAAAATCTACAGTTCTTCCGATCAGTTGCTCCCTCCATAATTCTGCTTCTACACCACTGCAATCTGGAAATATAAAATATTTAGGTATTAATGTTTCTCCTAAGCTTGCAGATTTAACTAAATTAAACCATATCCCACTTTTAAAGAAAGTAGAAGGCAATATGGCTAGATGGAAATGTCTACCCATATCACTCATGGGAAAGGTTGCCACTATAAAAATGATGGTCTTACCAAAAAGAAATTATTTATTCTCAATGATCCCGGCTAAACCATCACAAGATTGGTTCAGATCTCTAGATTCATATATGTCTAAATTCTTTTGGAAAGATAAATCCCCACGTATAAGCTTAAAAACACTACAAAAGACCAAGGACAAAGGAGGATTAGATCTACCTAACTTTCAACACTACTTCTTAGCCAACAGGCTTTAATTTTTCTCAGGATGGCTAAAACATGCCTTCTTAGATGAACCTTGGCTAGATGTAGAGCAAGCACTTTGCAATAATCTCGAGATTTCAGATCTACCATTAATCACATCAAACATCAAACGACATGAATGCTTTAAAAGTGTCAACATCAGCTCTTCTCTGACAGCATGGTGAGAGTTTCTAAAATTGAGTCTTCATTAATCACATTCAAAACAATAATACGATCAACTTTCTAGATTGGAGTTGTAAAGGAATCAAATACTTAGAACATATATTAGAAGGAACAGAATTTATTCCATTTGACAGACTAGTTACACAATATGGGATCAACAAGAAAAGATTTTTAGAATATCAACAAATTAAATCCATAGTAAAAAAGAAATTTAAACCCGGTGAAGTTGAACTACAAACACCACCAAATCTGGTACAATTTCTTACTCTTAAAACCCCCAAATTACTGTCCAAAATATACAGAATGCTTTCTAAAACAGATGAATCAATATCACTTCCTATTGCAAAATGGGAAGCGGATTTATCAGTCAACTTAGACCAAAACTTCTGGTCTCAGATATACATAAAAACCTTACATTTAATTAGAAATCCCAGTCTTCAATTAATTGAATATAAAATATTACATAGAGTGCACTATACAGGTCATTGAATGTTCAAGATGGGCTTTATGTCCTCCAAAAACTGCTCACACTGTCAAGCCAATACACTGGACAATTACATCTTTGGTTCTGTCCACCAGTTCAGACGTTTTGGCGTGAGATATGTGAAGACTTGATTGGTTTGTAGCTTAAACCTATTCGCTGGAACGTTCAAGATAATTTAATTACACAGCAAAGCAAGACACAAGTAGGCAAAGTTCTTTATGTTTCTCGTGCACGGGAGAGAACTGGACAAACGCCGTCCCTTCGCTTGACCCCAGTTGCTCTCGTCCGCTCCCCCGTAACAATGCTCTTTTATTGAGGTTACATGAATATACATAGGTTCATTAAATTTTAGAGAGGGGCACATAGAGGGAAAAAAACACTCACAAGCACACCATTTTTTTAATGTTAATTAAACATTAAATAATCAGACTAAAAGGATAGTGTTTGTTACACAATGAGGTTGTGTAAAATAGATACATGTAAATGAAGAACTGTCAACTGTCAAGACAAACTTTTTATATTGAAGTTTTAAATGCAGCTAAATTAAAGTTTAGTTGGTAATCAATCATAAACACCTGTGGGTAGAAAAAGAAAATGTAACGTGTGAGCATGAGGATATCAGTGATAAACATGTAAATGATAAACATGTAAATGATGAATATGAATCAGAAACATGTGAAATGTGAAACTCCTCATAAATCATTTGATCTATGAATGAAGGTAATTTTGTTGAATCTCCTCCTCCTTTGGTTTTCTCTGTGTCTTTATAAGCTCCAGTATCTCTTCTCACAATCTTACTCACATCTCAGCTGAACAGTAAAGATCATTTACACCTCACACTGACAACAT